AAGCCTCTGGTCCTCAGACCCCAGTGTGAGTGCGCGCGGGCAGACCGGCTCGCCCTGGAGCGCCGAGGCCCTCACCGGACCCTGCTGCTCCCCACGCTCCTAACCTCTCTCCCCTCAGACCATCAGTGCTACAACGGCTCGGGCACGGACTACCGAGGGACGGCCAGCACCACCAAATCGGGGCACCAGTGCCAGCCGTGGGCCCTGCAGCACCCCCACAGCCACCACCTGAGCAGCGCGGACTTCCCGGAGCTCGGCGGGGGGCACGCCTACTGCCGGAACCCCGGGGGGCAGATGGAGGGCCCCTGGTGCTTCACCAAGAACAAGAACGTGCCCATGGAGCTGTGCGACGTGCCCCCCTGCAGTAGGTTCTCCCTATTGCGTGCACTTGGCTTGCCTGGCCCAGCGGCTCGTGCTGTCCCGCCTCCATGGCCACGGCTGTGTTCCCTGTAAAACTGGTGCTGGTTATAGAAGTAACAGCCGGCCATTACAGCACGTCTCACATCATAGCAACGCCTAAGTCATGTCCGGTCACTCAGTTCCTCGCTGTGTGCATTGGGTCCTGTGCATGGTCCTGGGACGTCAGTTTGCATCTTGCTTCTCCCTTAACACTTACGTGGCATTTCCTGGTGGCATTTCCTGGTGTCAGCTGGGGCAGGGGGGCAGCTTCTCGCCGGGGTCTGACCCAGGCTGCCCGGCGCCCACGCAGCTCAACAGAATGAGAGGAAATGGGAACTTGTATCTCTTACCCATCGCCCCTGCAGTTTCTCTGTTAGATTATGGAAAGGAGAAGACCCGGGCGTTAATGGCTCAAACCTTGCCAACATTATCATCCTGTATTCCAACACTGACTTCCACCAGCTCCACTCGGCTGGGTCCCTGAGGTTGGGCTGCTCCCGAGTTTTCCCATTTTGGAGCCCTGAGTAGAGGGCTGGAGGGAAATTACCAGAAGATTGAGCGAGAGGTAATGGGTGCAGCATGCCAAGGCTCACCAGCTGCCGGAGCCTCTGCTGGCAGTGGTGAGGCTGGCCTCCAGCACAGCAGCAGCACGGTCTCTGCGGAGTGAACGTCAGGATGGAGATGTCAGTCAGATACCCGCACAGCCGCGTGGGAGTGCTACAGGGTCAGAGCGTCCTGCAGGGCGTGCGGGATCTGCTCAGGAGCAGGAGCAAGTTGCAGGCCGTTAGCAGTGTTCTGTCTCCCCCCGCACCACCTCCTTTCTCTTCCCTTTCTGTTTACAGAAAAACAGGAAGGAAGGGAGCTGTGTGTGTGTGTGTGTGTGTGTGTGTGTGTGTGAGAGAGAGAGAGAGAGAGAGAGCATGCACATAAGCCCTGTATTTCGGGGTGAAGTTTGGGGAAGATACACATCAAACTTGTAGCAGTGATTTCCCATGAATTACAGATACATTAAAATATAAAACGTTTTTATAATGAGCAGTTATTACTTTTGTAGTTAAAACAAAATCAAAACATAAAGGAAAAATGTATGTTCTTTGACTCAGCAATTGCAGGGATCTTATGGTGCAGAAATTTTTACAGTTAGAGGGCAGGAATGAAGGATATTTGTTACAGAATCACTTGTAAGGGCTGAATAAGAAGCAGATGAGTTGTTGTGGTGATACACAGGCCGCCAGGGGGCGCCCAGAGCTGTCTGTCCTGAGAGCAGCCCAGGCATCTGTTTTTCTGCCACAAAACCCCAAGCGGGGCGTGGCCGGTGACTGTGGACTCAGACTCATATTTATGAAGCGACGCTTCTATATAACAACAGCTGATACTGTTATTCCACGTTCAACTGAAAGTCTGCATAAAGTCAGGGACAGCAACCCCCCGGCGTGGCACGCCTTTGGGGACATGGGTGTTAGAATAGCACAGCTGTTCGTGCACGGGTTCGTCTGTGGTTTTGTTTGTTTGTGTTGATCCTCTCATGTTCCCCCACTGACCTTTAGAGAGTAGATGGGCGGGGGGTGGGGTGGGGGGGGGGATTGGTCGCCGCCTGCGCACACCCTAACTGGGACCGGGATCGAGCCTGCATCTGAGGTACGTGCCTCTGACCGGAATCGAACCCGAGACCCCTCAGTCTGCGGCCGACACTAACCACCGAGCCGAATGGGCTGTGTGTGATTTTAAAAAGCTAACGATAAAATAGATGTCAAACTCTGTTTGGGGGCTGTGGATTCCCAGCCTAGTGATGAGATTGAGTCTGCTCGGCCCGGGGCTCGGTCCCGCCCGGAGGCTGGGGAGTCCTGGTGGCCCTTTCGCCTGGGAGCGGCGGCCAGCGGGTCCGGACCGGTGGGTGGCTGCAGGCGGAGGAGGCTCGGCTCCTCCGGAGGCTGTGTCGGCCGGAAACCACTGGCCACCTTTCGGGGGGAGAGCCGTTGTCCTGGCCACAGAGCACCCGCCGGTGCTCACTCTGGGCCTCGCTCCTGGCCTGCGGGGAGGCAGAGCTGCCCCCTCCGGGCCCTGCAGGTGGCGCCTCCAGGTTCTGTGCCCCAGCTGCCGGTCCCTGGTCGCGGTGCCACTTACCAGTAAACGCTCCTCCAGCCACTGTCCTAAGAACTGCTGACAGTAAAATGGGGCCATCCTAACGGACGGGGTGAAGAGCGGCTGTTTCTAACCCCAGCCCCGCGCTTCCCGCACCGAGGACGCGGGCTTCCTGAAGATGACGGGGTCTCCAGGGCGCGTGGCAGGACACGCGGGAGCTCAGGGCCACCGCGGTGCCCCCATGCCCACTGCCCCGGGGCCCCTTCAGGGTGGCTGCAGTTTGTCCTCCGTGCAGCTGCCCCGCGCCCATGTGCGGAGTGGAGGTGGAGGGGTGGCCACAGGCCGTGTTTCCGGAGCTCACCGTGTGCTCCCCGCAGGCCCCCAGGACGGCAGCAGGATGGGCATCCTGTACATCCTGGTGCCCAGCATCGCCATCCCCCTGCTGGTCGCCTGCCTCTTCTTCCTGGTCTGCGTGTGCCGCAACAAGCAGAAGGCCTCGGCCGCCTCGCCCCCGCGCCGGCAGCTGATGGCGTCGCCCAGCCAGGACGTGGAGCTGCCCCTCATGGGCCCGCACAAGCAGGTCTCCCCCTCCGCCGGCCGCGCCCTCTGCCTGCCCCGCCCCACGCTCCCCTCCACCGCCCTCGCTCCGCTGTCTCCCTGGAACCCTCAGCACGGCCCGAGCGCTCAGTCCTGCCAGGCCAGGCGCTGCGGAGCCACCCGCCGCCCTCAGCGAGCTCCCGCTGTGCCCGCCGGGCACCAGAAGGCTCGCAGGGCCCCCCCATTGTCAGGGGCGGGGCCTGCTTCCTGCTCAGCGTGGGCGGTTGGTTTGCTTGGTTGCGATTTTCAGGGAAGGACGGAGCAGACCGTTGGGTAGAGGAAGTGGGACAGCCCCACCCAGGGGGTCAGGATGGTGAGGACCAAGCGCAGTGCCAGTCCCTCCCCCCGCTCTGCCTGGGGGCTGTCTCCACGGAGGAGCTCAGGGCCAGGACTCCGAAGGGGAGGCTCCTTCAGCTGTTTCCAGGGGCGGGTGGTGCACGTCACGGGGCCTGGAGCCCCCTGGGCCCGCGAAGCCCCCAGAGGGTGGGCAGACACAGAAGGGCAGAGCTGTCGAAGCCGAGAGGTGCGAGGGCCGCATTGATTTCACTCACGTGCTCCCGTCAGAAATCACCTAATTGAGAGCCTGATTGAGGGGAAGCCCCAGCGGAGCAGCTTCGGGCTCTGAAGGGCAGAGGTCATGGCGCCCACCTGGGGCTGGGGAGAGAGCCAGATTCTCCCCCTGCAGAGCGGCGTGGCCGGACTCCTCGGAGCGGGCCGGGCGCCAGGGCGGGGTGGTGGGCGCTGCGCCCAGCTCGGTTCGAGTGCGAGCGAGCAGGCGCACACCCCCTGCCGGTGTCTCGGCTGTTCTTGGGGCATCGTCTGCAGCCTGACTGGGATCTGTGGACGGGGTCGGGCAGCTTGTGCTTAAGAGCGCAGAGCAGCGGGCGGGGCCGGGAGCCAGGGGCAGCAGGCCCGCAGGTGGCCCCCGAGCGCCCCCTGCCTGGGGAGCGTCTCACGGGCCTCTCTTCCCGCAGGCCAAGCTCAAGGAGATCAGCCTGTCCTCTGTGCGGTTCATGGAGGAGCTCGGGGAGGACCGCTTCGGGAAGGCCTACCGCGGCCGCCTGCTGGGCCCCGCGCCCGGCGAGCCCGCCCAGGCCGTGGCCATCAAGACGCTGAAGGACAAGGCGGAGGGGCCGCTGCGGGAGGAGTTCCGGCACGAGGCCCTGCTGCGCGCGCGCCTGCAGCACCCCAACCTGGTCTGCCTGCTGGGCGTGGTGACCCAGGGCCAGCCGCTCAGCATGGTCTTCAGCTACTGCCCGCAGGGCGACCTGCACGAGTTCCTGGTGCTGCGCTCGCCGCACTCGGACGTGGGCAGCACGGACGACGACCGCACGGTGAAGTCGGCCCTGGAGCCACCCGACTTCGTGCACGTGGTGGCGCAGATCGCGGCCGGCATGGAGTACCTGTCCGGCCACCACGTGGTGCACAAGGACCTGGCCACCCGCAACGTGCTGGTGGACGACAAGCTGAGCGTGAAGATCTCGGACCTGGGGCTGTTCCGCGAGGTGTACGCGGCCGACTACTACCAGCTGCTGGGCAGCGCGCTGCTGCCGGTGCGCTGGATGTCGCCCGAGGCCCTCCTGTATGGCAAGTTCTCCGTGGACTCGGACATCTGGGCCTACGGCGTGGTGCTGTGGGAGGTGTTCAGCTACGGCCTGCAGCCCTACTGCGGCCACTCCAACCAGGACGTGGTGGAGCTGGTGCGCGGCCGGCAGCTGCTGCCCTGCCCCGACGACTGCCCGGCCTGGGTGTACGCACTCATGGTGGAGTGCTGGAGCGAGTTCCCCGGCCGCCGGCCGCGCTTCAAGGACCTCCACGGCCGGCTGCGCGCCTGGGGCGGCCTGTCCGCCTACACCAGCTCCGCGCAGACCTCGGGAGCCAGCAACGCCACGCAGACCAGCTCGCTGAGCACCAGCCCGGTCAGCGTGAGCAACGCCCGCTACGGCGGCCCCAAGCCCAAGGCGCCGGCCTTCCCGCAGCCGCAGTTCATCCCGGTGAAGGGCCCGATCCGGCCGCTGGGACCGCCGCCGCAGCTCTACATCCCCGTCAACGGCTACCAGCCCGTGCCGGCCTACGGCGCCTACCTGCCCAACTTCTACCCCGTGCAGATCCCGCTGCCCATGGCCCCGCAGCCGGTGCCCGCGCCGATGGCGCCCAAGCCCGGCTCGCACCACAGCGGCAGCGGCTCCACCAGCACCGGCTACGTGACCACCGCGCCGTCCAACACGTCCGTGTCGGCGGCCGAGCGCGCGGCGCTGCTGGCCGAGGGCGCGGAGGACGCGCGGGACGGGCCCGAGGACGGCGCCCAGAGCCCCGTGCCCGAGGCCGCCGAGGAGGAGGCCGGCGCCGTCCCCGAGACCGAGCTGCTGGGGGACGGCGACCCTCTGCCGGCGGAGGAGGCCGAGGCCGCGCCGGAAGCCTGAGGCCGGGGCTGCGGGAGGGGAGCCCGGCGCCCGGCAGGTGGTCGCTCCGCCGCGTGCTCCGCCGCCGCGGAGGCCGTGCTTTGCTGTGAGCCGTGGCGCCCCCGCACGGTGACCACGGGCGCCCGCATCCCCGGAGCCCGGGCACGGCTGCGCTCGGAGGGCACCGGCCCGCCTCCCCGACTTGCTGCACGTGGATCCAACGTCGCAGAACCTGGGGACAGCGGCCGGCCCGGCAGCCGCTGGGGCGGACGGAGGCGCTGCTTTGTGGCCGCGCCCTCCAGCTCCGCCCCTGCAGCCCCTGGATCAGCGGGACGGCCCCCGGCCTGTGAGCCTGTGAGCCGGGCTGCTGGACGGAGCCCCGGGTAGAACACGAGGTGCCTTAGGAACCCGCCGATGCCGCCCTCTGGGAAGTGGTCAGTGCCTTGTATGTGCGTGCCCACCGCCTGGCCTCGGGCAGTGGTGCCGTCCGGAGGAAGGACAGAGCTCCTGCTGTTCGTCTTCCTTCCCGAAACCTGCACAGGCCTTACTGTAATTTATGTGGCTTTGCAGGCCATTTCCATCGAAGTATTTTGGCCTTAAAATGACTTAGTAATTTAACTGTTTACTTTACCCACCTGGGATGCCACCTGATTGTATTTCACTGTGAGAGGTCCGTTCATTTCAGAGCTCCTGTGAGAAGGCCTGCAGGCACCAGGGACTGGAACAGCCGGTGCAGCCAGGCCTGCGGGCACCAGGGACTGGGACAGCCGGTGCAGCCAGGCCTGCGGGCACCAGGGACTGGGACAGCCGGTGCAGCCAGGCCTGCGGGCACCAGGGACTGGGACAGCCGGTGCAGCCAGGCCTGCGGGCACCAGGGATGGTGCAGCCAGGCCCGTGGTTACCGTGGACTGGCACAGCCGTTGTAGCCAGGCCTGTAGGCACCAGGGACTGCAGTGCAGCCAGGCCTGCGGGCACCAGGGACTGGTGTAGCCAGGCCTGTGGGCACTGTGGACTGGGCCTGCCGGTGCAGCCAGGCCTGCAGACACCAGGGACTGGTGCAGCCAGGCCTGTGGGCACCAGGGACTGGGACAGCCGGTGCAGCCACGCCTGCGGGCACCGTACACAGACTGGCTCAGCGATGCCTGTGACTCCACACCGGATGTAGCCAGTAAAGGAGCCACCTTGCGGCTCTGCAGGCGGCGAGGATGTCAGGCATCTGGTGGTGCCAGGAGGGGGTGCCCACCGGTGGCCATGGGGCTGGGCCTTTTGCAGCATAGGGGGGCTGACCTAGAACCTCGAATTCGTGTGAATGTGGATGTATGTTGGCAAATAAATGGTGGAAACAAGTTCCATTGCTTTCTCTGTGAAGGATTTGGGGTGAATTAATAGTTGATGACCTGGAGTAGGTCTTTGGTTTCAAGTTTATCCCCTCCTGAGGTCCCAGGACCCTTTTTAGACCTGGAGCCTGGTTCTCTCCAGAGCCCATGGGGGACGGGCCTGCTTCCCCACCGCCAGGGCTGTGCCCCCTGCAGGCGGCCCGCTGAGCCGCGTCGCTGGGCCAGGGCTTCCAGTCAGGGTTGGGCACGGCGGCAGCCACGCCTGGGGGAGGCCTAGGCCCTGCTGCCCAGGCTGGCCTGACCTGCCCCTCGGCCGGGGTTCTCTGTTACTGGAGTGGATCCCCACGAGGGCCAGGCGGCTCGGGAGGGTTTGCTTCCTGCTGGTGCAGTGGGTCTGCAGCCATTAGCAGCGCTCCCTGCACCCAGGCCATGGGTGGGCGGGAAAGTGCCTCCCTGACAGGTGCCCAGAGGGTGCCGATGCTGTGATCAGAGCCCGCTGACTGCACCAGGCACAGCATCGCCGGGCTCCACGGCCCAGCATCTGAGGTGTGTCCTGCGCCCCCCTTCCCCCCCAGCCCACACTGGCGATGGAACGGCCTCCAGCCAAGGCTGACCCCTCTGCTCGGAGTGCGGCCCTCCTGGCAGAGCAGCCCTGTGTGGAGAGGCGCGGGCTGGAGCCAGCCTTCAGGGCACCACTCAATATTGTCTTCATGCAAAACCAATTTCTTTTGCATATCACTTAACCGTTATTTAAGTACGTCCACTCATGGGGACATGTGTGTCATTCCAACATTTAATTAAATTTCATTTCATGGTTGAAAGCATTCCGTGATTTGACTTTATGCAGAAAGTGATCGACCCAATTTTTGCTTCCTGCGTGGAACTGTGCAAATGTTTTGATTAAATGGTAAACGAAACACTTTTGCATTATCCAAGATAATAAAATGATGCTGATTGTTGGCAGATGTCTGGAAACAGGGAGAAGCCTCCAAATGTGGCTATTATCAAGAAACAAAAAAAAGTAAAACCGCCCTCCATCTTATACCCCCCTGCCCCCCTCTCCCCCCGGGGCCAAAAGCTGCAGACTCGGTCGCAGTCTGTTGTTTGCGCCTCTGGTCTCCCAGCTGAACAAACGGCACAGGCAGCCTCAGCTGACACGCAGAGCTTGGCTTCCAAGCTTGTTCCTTTAATTTGAATCCGCTTTCCTAGAGAAATAGCATAAAAGTTGGTCAATGGTGCTTCAGGCCAATCCAGAGGAAGCTTTTCAATCCATATTGAAAATCCAGAGGAAGCTTTTCAATCCATGTAACTAAAACATTCTGGTTTGCCAATCTAAAACAAAACCGAAGCAATATTGGCAATTCCGACAGAAAAACAACAAAAATGAAGAAAACAATAGAAATGTCAGATATGCACAGCACCATAACTAAATTATACCTCTGATATTTGGAGGTTCCGGTTTTTCTATTTTTAATGGTAGAGATTACATCCTTGTATATATCATCATAATCTTTTCTAATTATTGTCCTTCTGATGTTGTAATTAAACATTTTTGTCAACAACACAAGAAATACTGATGACACTTATTCATGCAAAAAAGTTGCATGGCAAAAAGTACCAAAACAAAGCCAGAGGACCTAACAAGGAAGAGTATGTGACAGATGGACCGCTAACATCCACAGACTCTCAAAGCTAATAAGAAAAGACGCCGCTGCCATGAGGAGCGGCAGTGCCCAGGGCAGACTGTCAGGTTCGGCCCAGGTGGGGCCTCTTCTGCCCCACAGTCCCCAGAGCCCAGGACGGGTTAGAACGGAAGCCCGGGGCGCAGACAGCAGCCGCCCTGCTCTGCGCGCTGGAGAGCGGAGAGCCGGCGCAGCGGGAAGAGTGACTATGGCCGCGTCCTTACCGTGCAGGCTGCGAGGAGGCGGCTGACGGGGAAGAGGAGCTACTGTAACACGTTCTTAGGCAGCTTAGCCCTCAGCACTAGAGCCGGGCCTTCAGCAGGCAAGCGAAGGAGGCCTGGGTGTCCCTCTGCCTCCTGCAGAGGACAGCGGAGTGCAGACACCAGCGCTCTAGCGAACGAGCCTCCTGTCCTGCCCGGATCTGGACATGTTATTCATCCTCTCTGAGCGTGTTTTCTCACCTGCAATCTGGGAGTGCTAACGTGTGCGTAGATTTGCGCTGAGGGTTAGTGGGATGGCGATGGCATGAATAAAGCCCCACAGTTAGGAGCTCAGCACCATGCTGGCTGCGCCCCGGTCGCCGGATGGGAGCCAGTATGGCTTTCACAAGCGGCTGCCTCCCCTGTAGATGTAGCGAGGCCAGGAATGGGAGGGAGGAAGAGAGAACGGGCAGCGCAGGGAGAGAAGCTGCGGCCCTCTGGAGAGAGCGGACCAGGGCACGCTGTCACTGCAGTAAGGCATTAATGTTCGGAGCGTTTCCTTTTCCGGGCGCGCATTCGCCGGCAAATTCTCTAACGGACGCTAAGTGGACAGGGAAAGGGAGACCTTGCCCACTCGCCCAGGAGGCTTGGGGCTGCGGCCTCGGGCAGCGGCTGCTCAGCAGCTCTCCCTCCAGACAGCTTTGGCTGAGGCCACGGAAGTCTTGACTTGGAGCTCAGAATAGACCACTGTTCAGAAGGCCCTGATGAAAGATGGAAATGGTGGTCACGGAGGACGATGGAGGCTTTTAAAGCTCTATTTTGGGGCCACTTCTCCCCTTCCCAAGCTGAAGTCACTATTGGCGGTGTGGGCCTGGGGGCGCAGAGCTGGGGGCGCCGCTCAGGGCCTGAGCCGGTTTTCCTGGTTGGTCTGATGACCAGGCCCTTTCTGTGCAGTGCCCCCAGTTTGGCTCAGAGAGTACCTTAGTGGGGAGATTACCTTTGGGCAGTGGCCGTAGTCACAATGGGGTCAATAACGTGGGCTGATGACAGAACCAGCCCTGGAGGAGGTTGCTGAGCGGAGACACGCTCCTGGATCACAGACAGTCACCGCAGGAGCCTGGGCCACTGAGCGCCGCCCGGACAGCAGCCGCCTGGGGACAGGTGAGGCCGGTGCCTCTGGGAAAAGCACAGCCTTTACTTCTCCGTCCTCCGCCAACAACAGCCCACTGAGCTCCTGCCGTTACACACCCCGCACCCCGCACCCCAGGAGCGGGCTGGGCCGGCAGGGGGTCCCCGCACCGGCCTGAGCACAGAGGAGCCTGCCGCCGCCCGCTCCCGGCCTCTCCGCGGCTCCTTGTTGGCGCCCCCCTGCCCTGGGGCCCCCCTTCCTTCCCCACCAGCCCTGCTGTCTGAGCGCTCGGCATGGGCGCCCCGCTGGGGAGGGACCGCCCACACCTCCGCGTCCCAGGTCGAGGGCGCTGGCGGGCGCTGGCGGGCGCTGGGCCGTGATGGTCGGCAAGCTTCTCCTCCGTGCCCTGTGCAGCCAGGTGCCCGGTGCCACCAGGTGCCCGTGTCCAGCAGGTGCCCGGTGCAGCCCGATTCCCCGTGTGGCCAGGTGCCCGGTGCAGCCGGTACAGCTAGGTGCTCGCGTCTCCCACGTGCCCGGTGCAGCCAGGTGTCCACGTCCACCAGGGCCCAGTGCGGCCAGGTGCCCGGTGCAGCCAGGTGCCCGGTGCAGCCAGGTACATGGTGCCACCAGGTGCCCGGTGCGGCCCAGTGCCCTGTGCCGCCAGGTGCCCGGT